TATACGGAGGACGACATCATCAAAATGACCGAGTTTCCAGTTGACAACATCTTCTTCGAATTGATGGAAAGATTTTCCATGAGACCATTGCCATAATTATGGGAACTAACTGTGCCTCTCTTGGCTGACTTCGTTTTTTATATTAGGCTTATCAAAACAGGTCACAAACACGTTGCAAAGTCGTTTAATTTCACTTTCGGATATATTGATGTCTTCTTGTCTTTAAATAACTTAAAATTTATTGTCGACCTCTATCGTATATATACCAGAATTGAAAATCAAAGACACGACAGACTCTTCTACATCAGCCGCTTATCTCGATCTTTTCAAACAATGAAACCAACGTTGGCAGTTTTCCACCAAACTGTATGTAAACGTGATGATTACAATTTCTCTATTTTGAATTTTCCATTTCTTGCAATATTCCTGCATCTTAGACCTGTTTACATGTCGCAGTTGATTCAATATACAATGAGCTGTTCCCAGTTTTACCATTTTTGTGCAAGAATTCGTCAACTAACTGACATGGGTTTTCAAAAGATGCAGGTTGATGAAAAACGTTTGGTCGTCATAATGGTCTCATTGAGAAATATTCGTATTCCTTGTGCGATATGAAGCTGGAGGTAAAGAAACAAATCACCATGGTCACCCAGGGTGAAGATATACCTTATGTGACGTAGTGCTTCCCACGCAACTAGGTTATAGCGATCATAAACATAAAACCCACCTTTCATCTGACAGAGTGGATCACCATACGTAAATAGTTACGTAAAACAAGGGGTGGTAGGTAAGGAAACATATGATAAATCAATCTGAAGAATTGATAAGTGTTTACTGATCGACTGTAGGTTCATACAATAATGTTTGTCACCAGACATTTTAGATTAACTTCAAACATGAGTGTGATGACGGTGTCCGTAAATCACTTGTATATCAGACGGCGTAATGTACCGTAAATTAGATGAAAAATAACAAAATTATAGATTTTCATGATCATGACTTTTGTTAGTTTTATGTATCATCGGAAGTTATAAGTATATAAGTCGAACTGTTTGACACTTTTTATTATTCCGACACTGATCCAGCCTGAACACAGAGGGTAAATAATGAGAAAGTAATTTGTAGGCTGCATTGTTATCAGAAGAGTGAGATATACGTACAATGTACGTGTAACATAACAGCTCATATCCAATAAATGACATGTGAGGTATTTCTGTCTAGAAATGTGTGTTGGTACTGATAAGATTTATAACGACAGCATTGTGAGAAGTGACAAACGAATACGTATAATTTAATCATGGAAGATAGATGGATTTTCATTTCAAATAATTTAATTTGAATTAGGTGTTGCTCCGTTACGACATAGATAGACCAAATAACTTCAGATATTGAAGCATTCATACTGATATCAATTATAAACAACTTAAATAAACAAGAAAAATTCCGACATGCCAACATCACTGTAATCTAATCTCTATTTCAATAAATATAGGTCAGAATATGAAGAAAAGAAAGATGCACACGTATAATCCTGAAAGAGGTGTTCTGGAATAGTAAGCATCTTCTGCTTTATCGACGATATTCATCATGTAAACCTTTGTCAGTCCAAGTAAGAAATGACACGTTCTCAAATAAGAGCAAGGTGTATAGCAACGGAACCAACAGATTTACTAAACCTCGTCAAACACGTCCAACTTCATATCGTACAAAGAACGAGATCTCTATGAACCGTAAAACATCCCCGTGATTTTGATCACCGTTCAACATTTAAAAGCCTTTGTTATCAGTTCGTCCGCCAGTTGATGACTTAGATTATTCGTGTTTCCAATCTGGTGGACAACAGGATGACAAGATTATTTGATTATGTGAATGAAAAAAACAAACACTGCAAAACACAGACTACGTTGTAGGACAACCCTGTAAGTAGGATAGGCCTTTATTTGCTAGTGTGAGGACAACTCAAATAAAAAGGTGATTGGAAAACTCTATTATTAGGGTGGTGACATAGACCATTTAATATGGAAGCAACTCTAAATGAAAGGTGATGGGAGAAATCTATTAGAGCGCCGTACCAGATTATCAATTGAAACAACGCTTGCGTTCTCTTGAGAGGTTTTTATCCAAGAACCAAATACATGACTGTAATTATACTGAAATATATATCGTGAAAATTACGTCCAAATTAAAGAAGAAACATACGAGTGTCGAGTTTGTAGGCAAGATCTTCCTCTGTTGCTGACTTGTTAATGTTTTCATACGATGTTGAATTTATTGAAGAGCGCATCAATCAGGTCACAAAGACTTTGTAATGTCGTTTAATTTGACTTTCAGATATATTGATGACGTCTTTAAATAAGAAATTTATTGACCATGTCCATCGTATATACCCACCGGAACTGGAAATCAAGGGCGCGCCAGACTCTTATCTCGGTCTTTTCCAATGACATGGACAGATGCCAAGAAGTTGTATGATAAGCGTGATAATTTCAATTTCCCTATTTTGAATTTTTCATTCCTTGATAGCTTACTTGTATTGACTAATATTTACATGGTGGGCGTCGTCGATGAAGTAGAAGATGCCTACTCTTCCAGAACACATTGTCTTATTCTTATTCTACTTTTTTAGGAGTCTCCATGTAATTCTTTCGTTTGTTCTTTTTCTTATTAATATTTTGTCCTAGTTTTATTGATTTTAAAAGAACTCATTAGGGATTGAATTTTGAAACCAATGTGGTTACTGAATATCTCCCTTGTAAAGCAGTATATCTGTAGGACGAGATTTCTATACAAATCATGATATATTTTCTCGTTGTCGGTGTCATCCATGATCATTTTAAAATCCAGAAATACTTGTATATCAATGTTAATAAAAAGAGATGATGAATTCACTTAAGTCTGGTGTGGAGATGTGTATTTTCTACAGCTTTGCCTGCCTAATCGATCGTGTGATGAAAAGTATGTTACTAGCGTTTCTATTTGAAATGCAATGTACGTTTTTATCTTTTTGGCTCAGCAAAGGCTCTCTTGAATTAAAAAAAAACTTACACGTGTCATAATCGCATAACCAATGAAAATTCATAGACGACACAAAATAGCATACGGATTTAATTATCTTTTGTCGTAATTACTACCATGTAAACAGTGTGACTCATCTTAAGCTTATATATCTGTAGGTTGTATGTTTACTCTTGTTTTACATTTCAGTTTGTATGGACGACCTTTGGAAGGAAGGGAAACTATCATTAGATATGATAGCAGTGTCCACGAATACCGCTGACAAGGCAGAAATAACACAAGACGGTCGGTTTATATCACAAATCCTATGAATATTAAATTAGGCTTAATTAAGATTCACTGTAATAAACCGATGTGGCACCTTTTAAATTTTTTTTCGAAAATGTTACTGAATAGCTATTATTGAAATTCTTTCCTTTTATGAACAATTATTTTTGCATTATTATTCTTTTGTTTTCAAGTAGGTGTCAATGTATGATTTAATAAAACAGTTTAGGAGCTGTTGTATTACGTGTAAGACATAGGAATATATTCCTTGTAATACCATTTCTCTTGTACCGAACAGGACAAGGGTGGTGTGGTGACAACACTGCCAATGACACATGGGTTCAAATAGACTTTGCAGAACCAACTATGGTTCACCAGATCAGAATAATGGGTGGTGTTAAAACAGGCAATCCAAGGATGATACAAATCTTGACTATGTTTGATAAACATACCAAGTGGAACCAGCTCGTGAATAACTATGTAAGTATCTGCATTACAACTCTAATCTCATCATAAAAAAACATTGTTTTATAAAGCAGTCAGTGGACATTTCGCACTCTTAGAAAAGACAATGAAGACCTCAGTGTATGCTATAACGACACCTTCAGTCATTTCTATAAACGTGGAAGCTATTTCATGTATTCCTGGTGTACACACATGATTTTATCACAAGTTGGCACAACTAGGTATAGCATTATACCCTGTATGTTCATATCGACAGCTCCACGACAACGGGAATATGTAGTTTTGACAGTGGCACACCTTACATGCTGGTTCATTGTAGTATAACTGATTGACATATCATTTTGAACTCGTCTATTTTCCTAAGCCATACAAAATTTTTAAATCATCCGAGGAAAATTCATAAAAATAATATGGGCAAAACAAAAATGTTGAATACAACTCTCACAGAACAACCAAAAAGAAAATATAACTTCAACGCATTTAGGTCAATGGAACATGCTGTCTGGAAGCGATCGACGGTCGTGTTTACGTTATAACTTCAATGGAAACTGTAAATACGATAAGTCGTTATGGATATAGAATTTACAAAACAGCTGGTTGTTGTATATCGTATATATATGAGATAGCTATGGTACACACGTTACAAAACTTGAGCCAGAGCTTCTTGTGGCTTTGGAAAATAACTAGAGACTGAAAAAATTACCATTTACAACCATGATTTTGTGTAAACTGTTTTTACCATAAAGAACTATCATGACAAAGAATTGACATGTTCTGTAACCATGGCTATTTTGTTTATGATCTTAGTTCGGGCGTAATGATAAGAACAATTTTGAATTACCGCTAATTCATATGCAATATATTGATAGAAATATGTATAACGTTTTAATTGCCATGAGTGGTGAAGCGTTCTTCCAGCCAAATGATTAATTTATTCAAAGTCATTTCAAATCACTTTTGCTGAAATAAATACCTCTGGGACATTTTTGAAATACGTAAGCAGAAGTTCTGACAGTTATGTTAAATGTTATGTTAAGAATGTATTTTAAAACTGTCTGTAAACAGAAATGGAAATACATAGATATACTGAATGAATCGTTCCAATTTCGTAAGTCGTCAGATTTGTTATCAAATATTTTGTGATATGTATAGCAAACAATTGTTTATCATATCAATGTTGTTTTCATCAGGATACAAATCTTCAACACTATTCAGTATCTATTGTGAATACCGAAGCCATTAATATCATCAAAATGAAGATAAATATATTATCTTTTGACGACAAGCCATGCATGAGACTACAACTGGCTGGATGTACTCCTAAAGGTATTATATACATTAAAACGCTTCAGTTTTAATTTCATGTCCTGAAAGGACGTTTTAAATCGCATCACCTACGGACCATAAGTTGTTGACACTTGAAACGATTAATAAAATATACATCCGTTAAGAGATCAACATATACAGATTCCGTTTGTATAAATAACGTCAAAATCATTACCGTAGTCGTTCGCTCGTTTGATTATATTTGTTTTTATTTGAATAGATATATGTCCCGTATGTCAAAATGGAGGACAATGCTTACAGCAGGCCACGTGTAAATGTCCATATGGTTTTGCTGGTGATCACTGTGAAATGGAAAAGAGTAAGTACTGGATTAAATATTTGTTGATATATCGCGGTAGTCATCATGATTATGTTTGTATATTTACCCAGAATTGGATAAACATGTCATGAAGGAAATGCTGTCATTTTCTGCTAAATTTATTTCAAAAAAGCGATTTGGTCTTACAATGGATATATGTTTTCTTTTCATATTTGTCACAGGTGAATCTCCTCAAGGCGGTAAGAAATGCTTTACTTGTAACATTACTGCAACGTCTGTAATAACATCGGTCTCCTTCTTATTGTTAAAGAAAGCAAGAAAGGTGTAGAAGATATATCTAACTTTAAGTTGCAAAAGTTTTCACGAAAAAACACTCAAGCATTTATTTTCAAAAAATAACATATTTCTTTAAACATTTTTTTTTAATCGTATATAATGTTTGATCGCTATAGCAAGCTGGAGATAAGTTTTCACAAATAGAATAAATCTTCTTCTGTATTTCATAATGTCCATGATAAAGTCAAATTAACAGGAGTTAAAGACAGGGATTAGTGTTGGGATTACTATTACGACTTTTACATGAAATATTTCATTTCTTAGATGTCTTTTCTCTACTTCCTTGCGTAAACCTGATTGTTTGATTGGTATTCTAGCATGTCTGGTAAGACAAGGTTTAGCAGATAAGACCTTGACATCTGATCATTTGCTGGTGTCATCTTCTGCCCAAAACCAAACCAAGGACATGGGTCGACTTAACTACTGTTGTAAAGGTGAGAATGTTAAATGAACTGTTTCTACAAAATTTCAGATATTCACAAATAAATCGTATTCAAAACGTTGCAAAAACTAATCAACTTATTTTTATGCTTAAAATGCTTATACTTAACATTTTTCAGATGAAAAAAACCAAAACAAAAACAAAAACAAAACAAAAAACGAAACACAACATATAAAAACCAAAAACTTTGAATTAACAAATGATATCTAGCTAGGGGGATAAAGACATTTAGAAGATAAATACCCGACAAATGATACTTTCATAACTTATTGACAGGTGATATTATCAGTGGCTGGTGTCCTTCCCTAACTGATCCGAATCCTTGGTACGAGGTGTCGTTCCCGTCACCAGTGGCCTTTGGGGGTCTTGAGATCCAGCCCCCATCAATGCCCGGAGTTTTCACTCCACCTGCTGCCTACATGAAGACTTTCCGCCTTGAGATTATCTTGAAAGAGGATTCCCTCAAACAATGGAGGGTTGTAGCACCTGTAGGTATCAAACCACACAGCTAAGAGGAAAACCTCAGAGTGTACCAAAATGTTTAAATGTTTGAGATAAGATATTGTTTGAGTCAAAAGATTATGATGAAAATAATTTGTAAATAATAACTTTGGTGAAACAAATACTTCTTCGACGGTAAAACTTTTGCAATCTTTGTGAAATTATTGTAATTTTCACAGAAATCACGACATAGATGTAGTTTGCATCATCTAAACTTCACTCTTATTGTTGTAAACTTGTCAGTTAATATCGTCTTCGTGGTAAAGATAGAAGTCGGTATCAAACAATATGAACATTGTCTGCACAAAACAAAAATTAAATGTCTTGATAATAGTGCTTCAATGAGTTTTTCGTTATGAAAAGTTTGAGGAGGAACCATCATACGGTAATTACAACACGTTTTGAAGAAAAAGAATCTTTGATAATGTTAATATTTTCATGCTTCCTTTTATGAGCTCATCTGTTGTTTCTCGCTCTTTCATTGAGTAATAGAAGAAAGACGTAGCACTAGACTGAACATTAAGTTATTCGCCTAACGTTGTATCTATTGATGTATTTACCGTTACGTCATAATTTAAATATGTAAATCATCCGTCTTTCTTTCAAAGTGCTTCAAACAAACTATGACATTTTAAATTTCCTATAAAATGTAAACCGATATTAGAAGATCATGTTGATTACGTAGCTTGAGTTGATAAAAGCCAGACTATCTCTAACATGTTGACCTCTCGAAATGATCTTATTTCTGTTGTAGTCCCTGGAAGCAATATCAAACAGTTCTATTGGAAAGTTCTGGCTGGTTTTCACACCCCCTGTCGCCATTGATTCCTTGAGGGTTTACCCTCTCACGAGTCAGGTTTCTCCTTGTTTCCGGTTTGATGTCCTAGGTTGTGATCCTTCAAGTAAGAAATTCAGGCTTGTATTAGATAGCAAAATGAACGGTAGACATTTATATACACATACCAACACAATGAAACATTTCACATCCTGGAACACGTCATTTACCACAATTCTTCACCTGATAAATATGTTTCCCCTCCGAATGAAGAGAGAAATATTGTTTTAGTACTTCTTCTTATTAATGCAGTTGTTCTTCTAGGTAGTCTAGACTTCTACCCGGAGGTCAGAATTGATTGAAATGTGGAGACATATAACAATATCATAGGCTAGTGGTGTTATCAGTAACAGAAATGCATCCTTGGCGAGGAAAACCTATTGTTTTCAAATTGTTTCACAAACTGGATAGACAAAACATCAAAACATTACTTCAATTACGAAATAAAACAATGACAAATAAAAAGGTGTGGAAATAGGTATGGTTTGTATGTCTTCACAAGCTTATCTTACGTCTATGGTAATATTACCTATAATGTGTATATGTTGATGGTTGTAGCGCTGTGTCCTGTTGATTTCTGTAAGAATGGTGGGACATGTGTTGGCGAGGGACAGTGTTCCTGTACACATGGTTATTACGGGTCTGACTGCAGTGGTGAGTGTTACATATTTAGAGTAGGCGCGTGGTGCATAAATTGTACATTAAAAACACATAAAACTAAATGCAAACAAATCAAATTCAAATTGAATATCCGTAATAATATCTTCCGTGAAAGCTATTGTTCAGCAATATCATTGGCTCTTATTAATATCTTAAAACAGTAACGAAGCTAACGACGACTGTTTTTGAAATAACATCCATCGTCAAACAAGTGATCCAAACAACGACAACCTTGACCTTCAACATTCATGGACACGTGACTCTGTCAACCACAAGTCTCGGGCAGGCAGTGTACGTAAATGGTGCTAATAGTTACGTGACCGTCAGTAATAGCAATTTCCCATCATGCCTCCAAAATATTAGAAGTTGTACCTCTGGTTTTACTATCAACTTGAACGTTAAGTTTGACAAGCTTGAGGAAAACACTTACATCATTTCTAATGGCGGTGACCGCCCAGACGGCATTGGTCTAGCACTGTATTATGCAAACAACCAGCTACACTATATAGTATCCACCGATACCCTCATATGGAGGCTACAAACCACCACCAATCTCGCTTTGAACATCTGGCAGCATCTTGAGATCTCGTGGAGTTCCTCTGTTGGAATCGAACTTCTAAACAACGGTATGCTTATTGGCAGCACGACTCGTCCCCAACCACGCCCTACGACAACTACCATAACCATGAGGGAGATATCTCTGGGTTATGGTTACATCAGCACGTCCACGAAAGTTTCGATGAAATTCACTGGCCTGAAAACTTACGACGCTAAGAGAACAGACTTGGTGAATCAAGGAGTCATCACAGGTATTTTTTTATTTACTCCTTAGTACTTTTACAAAAGCCCTCAAACGGACCAAAACAACCAAAAGGCAATTATTTTCTTAATTATTCATGGGTAATGCATTTCAAACGGCGTGCTTATTTTACTGTAGTATTAATGTATCAGGGATTACCATATTTTACAAGACATGTATACTTTACAGTAGTATTAATACATCAAATATTGTCATATTTCACGGGACGTGTATACTTCATAGTAGTATTAATATATCAAATATTTTCATATTTCAGTGCCAACCACAACACCAATTACTGCTAAACCGACAGTGTCATCATCAGGTATTTATTGTCTAATTAAATTGACTGTATTAGTGTAGAATACCATTAACCTTAAGATGTATTCGTGTGATCTTTTAATGGAATTATGACATTACCAGCCAGACAATTAATGATAATGGCAAGACATGTTCACTACAAACATTTAATTACATTTTTATTGAAAAGCTTTAGTCTATGACAAATCTAGATAACATATCTCAATTTAGGTATATATATATATAATGCTATGTGAAATGTTATTAATTGATATGGTTTATACCAAATAAGTACATAGTACAGATATATTGTATTGTCATTTGTTGGGCCTGATATATATAGAACATGCACGACATCTGTGCGATATACATCAGTGTGCAGGAGAGCCTCGATAACCAATTACAAAGGGTCTAATGTCAGTAGAGAACAGATATTATCAATAACATTCTGCTTCATTCACGGCGGTCGGTATATAACTCGAAAATGAAGTCACTTTATCAAAATTAGAACCCTACGGAATTACCACAGAGAACTGAACTGTGAAGAAAAATTAACAAATAAGATACGAGGGCCTCGTAGGTCAGTCTGAAGTGTTGGCAGGTTTAACCTGGCTCTACTGTCTACAATGCTGGAGTATAGCCTTCCATTAATATACCTCAGCTAAGTTTATAAAAAGTACTATCTGCGACTTCTTTTAAAATGATACACCTAAGTAATTTAACTATCAGTAGTTATGCTATCATATATAGTTAACGCAACATATTTTGTACCGCTAGTAATTTTACGATAAAAAGCTCTTCAGTAAAAGATACCATATTTGCAGGGATCTTTGGGTTTAAAAATATTGTTGGGAGCATCATTCAAACGACTTCGTCTTTGAGGTTAAATATACATTGTCATGTGACACTATCGAATTCCCCGTCAGGCGGGAAGGCAGTACTGTTGAATGGGACCAATTCTTATGTATCTGTTGACAACAAGACTTTCCAATGATCATTATCTGTTACATTGTCGTCTTTTCTCTCGATTTCGTTTACGTTCCTTTTCTACAATAAATCGTCCAATAACTACTAAACTGTTACTATTCGGTGATGACGAGCTGTCATATGACGAAAATGCATTATTTTTTTCATGTACTCAGGATTATATCCTTAACTCCAAAAGATTTGAATGATGTCTCTTTTCTCCAATACATTCATGTCTGGGCCGGTCTTTACTGTGTTTTCATAGTAAATTCTGTACTTGAGGTATAACTGAGCAACAACACCCCCCCCCCCCCCCACCCCACCCCTCTTCCCCCCTTTTATTTTCTTTTTGTTCTTTATCTATAAGATAGCATATTGATTTATTCTTTCTCACATATTATCTTATAATAACAGCCTACGTCCTCAATTCCGCATGCGTCTCTTCTAACTGGAGATGGATTAATATAAGTTGTCAAACTTGTTTCCGAATCCAATTTCAATTGTTATTTGATGCAACTATGTACATTGTAAGGAGAAAAAATGAAATAAAATAAAGTTTACAAGAAGACTTTCCAATCATGTTTGCAAAAGACCGATATGTGTACTCATGGCTTCACAATAAGTTTAACAACACATACCTCCTCTCTTACGGTGGTGACTTGGATCGTGGTATGGGGTAGCATTGGTATGTATTAACGAGACAGTAAGATTAGTCATTAGCACCAGCTCAAAACTTCAGTGTAATCCTCTGTTCTAATGATTATTTATGCTTTTATATGTACGTATATGAGATGGATACTGCCAGTCTATACTAATGTAATATATATTACACAAGGGATATTACAAAGGTATTCTGTATTTGGATGACACTAAAACAGATCACTCAGATTATCAATATAAAAACAATGTTATCATTATACTAGTATTCCTTTTCAGATTATCACCTTTATCGAGTTGTACAAAATACAAAGAGGAATAAAAATATCTGTATATTTATTAAATTATCGATGGTACAGTATATATAAAATAAAGGATAAATCTGGAGATCATTCTTGTTGCCTAGGGCAGTACGTGTTTGATTAATGTCGTATTCGTTTCAAATTCGGTTTCGTTTGTTTATTTCAGCAATGACAACAAAACCTAATACGACACCAACTCCTCTGGCAGAGTCGACGTCATCTGCAGGTATAAAATAAAACAGGGATATCATATACTACATACGGTCTTGACAATCATAAGTACTTCCTAATCAAGCTTGCGTTCATGTTATAGAATTGCAAAATATTTGAATAGGATAAAAACATACAGCTCGGTGTGCATTCGGGCAGGTACAGAAAACTTGTTAAACATATGATTATCGCACATAATCATTCAACGACCAGATTACCTTATACATATCGTAAAAATAGCGATGAGTTCAATTGATTAGTTATAACGGAAACACTAGGCGATGCCATGGAAGCAAAGTAAGAGAAAATGATGCTGATTTTTTTTTCCTTTCATTTTTACTTACGATATAAGTAATGTGTCAAATGTCTTCACATTTACATCACGGTATAAGTAATGCGTCAATTATCTTCACATTTACATCACGGTATAAGTAAAACCTCAGTTATCTTCACATTAACATCACGGTATAAGTATTGCGTCAATTATCTTCACATTTACATCACGGTATAAGTAAAACGTCAGTTATCTTCACATTAACATCACGGTATAAGTAATGCGTCAGATGTCTTCACATTTACGCCACGATATCAGTAATGCGTCAATTATCTTCACATTAACATCACGGTATAAGTAATGCGTCAAATGTCTTCACATTTACACCACGGTATGAGTAATGTGTCAAGTGTTTTCACATTTACACCACGGTATAAGTAATGTGTCAAATGTCTTCAGATTTATATCACGTGTTAAATGTCTTCACATTTACACCACGGTATAAGTGATGTGTCAAATGTCTTCACATTTATATCACGGTATAAGTAATGCGTCATGTATCTTCACATTTATATCACGGTATAAGTGATGTGTCAAATGTCTTCACATTTATATCACGATATAAGTAATGCGTCATGTATCTTCAAAAATATATCACGGTATAAGTAATGCGTCAAATGTCTTCACATTTACATCACGGTATAAGTAATGTGAAGACCATTTACTCTTACGCGATACAAATGACCATATTCGTGTTGGCACGCTTTATATGGAGACGATTCAACGCAGTTGTAAATATTGAACATTATCAAAGAACTTAAATCTGACACAGCTTATCAAATAAGTCCCTTCATGTAATAATGTCCAGGTAATCAAAACACTTCTAACTATTTGTGAAATAAAAGGAGTATCTTCTTTATTACAGTCACAACGAAAGCTCCAATCCAGTATTTGAACTTCACTTTCATACAGATAAAAGACAACCTTTTGATAACACCCCTTCACAACTTCACCGTATATGGGAAACCCAGCATTGTGCCGGAAGCTAATGGAAATGCCATTCTTGTTCTCAATACGACTGGACAATATGTAGAACTGCCGAATACTGGCATGCAGTGCTTGCAAGACCTTACGACATGTGATAATGGTTTCACATTGAGTGTAGAAATAAAATTCCTCAATTCTACAATCACCGATAAACAGTATATCTTCTCAAGCGGCGGTGATCAGTTAAACACTTCCGGTATAGCACTGTATCTTTGGATGGGAGAGTTGTACTGTGCTGTAAAATGGAATAAATTTATGTGGACTTCGAAATTAAAAATTCATTTTAGTCACACAGAATGGCACACGTACCAAGTTTCCTGGAATGAAGTTGATGGATTCATTGTCTACATTGATGGTCATCTCTTCATGAATCATACTATAAAACTCCCCAACCCTACACAACCAGACATTCACTCTCTACTGATTGCAAAAGGTCACGGATCCTCCATCACCACTTTCATTGATATCAGAAACCTGTATGCCTGGACAGCATCACGTGATGTTCTCATTCACGAACATATAATTCAAGGTAGCGAAAAATTGTTATATTTTAAAGTGATTTTTTTTACCTTTGTATTTGTAGTTGTATTTAAGTCAGTCATTGTTTTTCGCAAACAGGATTTATTATGAAACGTTCACATCAGTAATTGCTGATTATGGAGGAAATAATAAAAAAAAGAGACAACTTTTGATCCTGTCAAGAATAACGATTTTGCTGAAGATTAACATATGTATCCTTATTATATCACTTGTTTCTATTGTTCAAGTGCTTTATCTGATGTACATGGAGATCATGTTTCCTTTGAATGAACCATTGCCAGGCAATAAGTTGTGATAAAGTTTTTCAGGAACGGAAAATATCTTATAATGATAATATCTGATGTGATATAGTAATTCTTTATTTATTAACAGAAAATACTTCATAATCTACAAAGAAACTTAACCTAAAAGATTATGGATTTTAGTCGTTTATGTATTTACATTCTATTGTAGATTATACTACGGTCAAACCAACACCAAGCCCGACCAAGAAGCGTGAGTACATGATATCTCTGTTTTAGTACAGAAATGAATGCGAAACTCTGTAAGATACTCTTTATTCCAAAATATATATTACTGTATACTTGAAGCAAATGCTTCTAAATATCGTATGATCAATTGACATATCGTAGAATTATATATGGTTGCATTTTTAAATATCCTCCCAGATAATCTGTGTTACAGTAGATATTATGAATGTATAATAGTTCCCATTCAAACTCTCGTATGCACTATTCGACTGATACTAAGTTCGGTATACAATTGTCTTTTAACTGTGAATCTCCATGTACAGGACGTAAACACAGGCATACAATGTCATCTTTTCTGTTTCTATTTCTTTATTTGGACGTGTGGATTTTTTTTTTTTTTTTTAGAAAAGTCGATTACATTTCCTCATTACTTTAAGGGTAAAATATGATAAGCGCACGTAAGGCCTGTTCTTTCTAAACATATGATATGAACGACGTTTGATCTAAAGTCCTTGGTTTTACATTTAACTTGAAGGAGTCGATTCACAGAAAGGATTTATCGCAACAACTGATCATTAAAGGAAGTGATTTCATTTCACACTAAGTATTAACCAATCCCTCTGATCAATAACTGCTATCCTCTGAAACATTACTGTTATCATTCCAAGTCACTAGGCAAAGTTTAGAAATATAAGAAATGAACCCAAAGACACGTTACGTGACTTAAAATTACTATATAGTGTAAATAATCTAAACGGGGGAAAGTGGTATCGTTAAATCAGCGACAGGTTAACTACGATTTAAAATGAATCTATAGCATAGTCATCATCCACTGGGCAAATGTGAGCGTCTTGCTTGTTGACAATGTTTCATCTACGTCTAGTGATAATATCGATACCTCGACGTCGGTCTTCCGATCTATTCTATTTCATGAAAAGGATATCAGGGTTAACTTCCTCTTCTTAATGATAAAGAAATCTGCAGGTTTGGGCAATATGATTTAGTTATGAAATTCATTTTATCACAATAAGATATTCCATTCTCCATGTTGTGTTAAAACCATGTGATCTGCTTCAATTTTCTGCTTTGGCAATTGGCAAAATGGCTTAATGCAGTAAAACTGAAGTCCTGACGGCAGAGTCTATGGTAATGAATTCAAAATGTAATTGAAGTTCTGCCGATTTTAAAGAAAAAAACTTGAGGTAGGGAAAATAACAGTGATCTTACCATTTTGTGGACAGTCTAATCAAAATTCTCAATCTAAAAGGTCGGATCTCTTAAAACATTGGCCTTGTCTAAATCAGAAATTGGCCTGCATGATACTAAACAACTACTTACCAATTCCACAAATGTATCTATGTAAAAGTTGATGAACTGGAACGAAATTAAAATGGAATGAAAGACACTTTATATCTATGGCCATAAAACGGCGAGAATAATTTTCAGACGCAAATATAATGACTCCTAAAGTAGAAAATCATTGTCAATATTGTTATCTAGCTTTATTCTAAGTGACTTGATCATTCAATCATGTTTGGAATCTTTTTCAGTCATTTTAAATGAAAATACTGTACTGTAGTTTTGTATTATGCTAATTTAGATAAAAAGATACTTGCTTAAATTATACATGGCTAGTGTCGAAGCTTTCCTGTTAGAAACAAACTCTGTTAGTTGTCTTGTATTTTCTCAAGAGTCGCCGTGTAGTTTTTCTCTTTCGATCTATCAAGTTTGTTTTATTGTCCACACTATATGTCATTATGATATTGCTATCGATTTGAGTGTACAACTCAGAAGAGGAAAATGTGTATCCATATGATGTGTGGATACGTCCTATTTCCTCTTATATCATTTTTTTATAAATCTATAATCCTGTCGTAACGTATTGTAGAGAACTAATAAAGGCATTTCCCATTGTTCAATCCATTTACTTACAAAACAAAATTGTTGTTGATAATACGCATTTGATTAACTCAGTAGTCGGAACTCTGACCTACAAGTTCTAATGTATGTAAAACTTTGATAATGATATTGTTTCCAAATGTCCATTGAAATGGAACACCCTCATTATTTTTACCAAGCATTTCTGTAAATGACGATCAGTTGTTGCATTAATTTAGAAACAACAGCAGCACCGACGACAAAGACCCCAACAACAAAGGCACCAACGAAACCTCCAACAACAAAGGCACCGAAAACTTCTCCAACAACAAAGGCACCGACAACGTCTCCTACAACAAAGGCACCGACAACGTCTCCTACAACAAAGGCACCGACAACGTCTCCATCAACAAAGGCACCGACGACTACACCAAATAAGCAAATGGTTTCGTACAACTGGTCATTCACCCAAATCAGCCAGACGAATCTAATAACATCTGATAACATTACGCTACAAGTACACGGTGGTGCTACAGTGGATAAAAAAGAGGAGGCTCTCCATATCACGCAAACGACACATTACATTGACTTCGGCATACACAACAACATGTGTCTGGGCAACCTTGATAGGTGTCAGTCAGGAATCACTTTCGAGGTCGTAGTGTCCTTTAAATTACTTCAGGAGAATACTATAATAATGTCAAGTGGTGGGGAGAGAACGGACGGAACAGGAGTGGCACTTGTCTATAGGTTTGGCCAGATTCAATGTATAGTGTCTACCTCCACTGTGTCGTGGTACGCGTCTGTTCCAAGGGGAAAACTAACGATATCCTCCTTCAATTCCATCGTCGTCTCGTGGGCTCTTGACAAAGGTTTGATTTTGTATGTAGACAAGAAGATTGTAGATTTTAGTACAACACAGATATCTCATCAGTTGGCCATCAACACCAACCAGCATCTTTATGTGGGACAGCCACCAACAGTGAATACAGTCACTCAGGTAGATTTCTATCTCAAGTCCATCAAATGCTGGCATGTGTGGATTGATATTATAATCGATATTGATATCATCATTGGCTTCCCTCCAAGTAAAGGTAGGTAATGGCTGAAATACTTCTGACGTCAAATTAGAGTTACTGTACTTGTATATCACATTCAAAAAATTATACTGTTGAAATGCAAAACAGGCCGAGAGAGGAGATGAATTAAATCAGATTTATTCTAATAAGTTAATACAGAAAGTATGTTCCCGGCATCATTGTCATCATTGAAACTAATTTTAAACGTTATCCGATTTAAGAATAGTTTACTTAAAAATTCTGTTAATTAACTAAAACTTTTCTTGATGACCTGGTGAGAGCCGACTGCGTTATGTATGCTTTGCACATTTGTTTATCATTCAAATATCAACGTAACAAACCATTGAATATTTCCCGGACTGTTATATAAGTTTATCATTATCTCTCTGGTATTTCATATTTTCTCTACATTGCGATATTTATGTTCGAAGAATGTAGATGTTTTTACTTAATACAGATTGGAAGTAATCTTTATTTGTGACTTTTTTTAAAAAAATAAATGTGTTTTTCTTGTGTTCATAATCAGTTACCACTACCCTAAAACCAGTTTCTACAACTACGACATCTACTACTACGAAGAAGGCAACAACAACAGATGTTTGTCACAAAGGCTGGATATGTAAAGGTATATAAGTGAACAGGACATGTCATTTACGATTTACAAAACAATATCCATAGGTACACTAAAAATATCTTCGATGATTGAAATCAATTGGTATTTACCTTCCTGATTGTATGCAATACGATAACACTGATTGCTAGGCTAACTTTTTTTTACACAGATGATATCACAACTCCAGCACCAAAGACCACAAAGAAACCAAGCCCGACTACACCTAGTACTACAACTCCGCAGCCAACTACGACAAAATCTACTCCGAAACCCACTACATTACCCACGACTACCCCTAAGCCTACGACACCCCCTACCACTACTCCACGTCCCACTAAACCTGGATTACCAATTTACAACGTGCGTCCTACCCTTCTACCCATAGTAGACGGACAAGGAGCTGCATTCTTCACCTGCTCTTTCGAGAAGTCATTCCAGCAAAATGTAGAATTTATTGTCTGCCTCAACATCAACGAAAATTGTGAATTAATGAATATCGTATCGGGAATGACAGATAATTACAAGTTTGCAGTTGCAAGCATCAACGACAATCTTTACAACAAAAGGGTATGAAATTAAATTACTCAATGAACCTAGCAATGAAGGTGAAGTGAGTGTTGATATACTTAAAGTACCTAATGTTTATTAATTATTTAATCTCTGAGATATTTTATCAAGTCAGTGTAGTAAAACAAAAACGATAACGTGTATTTTTTAAATAAGTAATGTTCCTTTTAAAATGATTAAAATACTTCAGATATTAGATACTAATAAGGGATCACCTGTGGTTATGTTATGTCCGAATGTGTCTTCTCAGGTCACGTGTTCCATCCAGGCTCGATTTAAAGGTCAAAGTGGACTGACAATTAAATTGACCAGTGCCATCTTCACCCCTACTATCAAGGTAAAATAGACATGATTATTATAGATTCATATTAACAATTAAAATGTATATATAAAAAATTAAAATGAATACATTTTATAACTATTTCAATCATCATCATCGTCGTCGTCGTAGTCGTCGTCGTCGTCATCATCATCATCATCATCATCATCATCATCATCATAACGCTTCAGCCATAAAACAAGTATTATTTTCTTTGATTTAAGTTATTAATTTCTTCATGATATGCAAAACATTGTTATAGAATCATAGGTGTTTTCTTTGTAGTTGATAACGACTGATAAATTGGTACTGACAGAGGGCCGAGTTCCCCAGTATATCACCGTAAACTCCACAGCTCCTCCACATATGTTCTGCTGTCGGGGATGTAAGGGACAGTGTACGGTCCTCATACACACTCACACTGACTACGACCGCCATGACAAGAAATGTAGACAATGGGTTCTACCACAAGTTGTAATCGGATGGAAAGGTCCGAGTCAGACCGCGAGGCCGGAGTCATGCGGAGCCTCTCTTTCGCAATCTAATTGGCAGGGTTTACTCCAGATCCCAATCACGGCTATGGTGGATAACATGTACGATCGTGACCACAGTACTCACGTGACCGTCCAGGTTCACGTGACTTACCCCAGGCAACCTCCAATAGTAACCAGTACTTCACATACTGTCAACATTGGTCGTATTGATGTAAGGATCTCGTCGCAGAATCGTTGCAATAATAGATAGAAATAACTTCAAAAGCATTCTCATTACTCCATTAATATCTGTCATATTTATAAATTTCAGTATTAACAAGTACACTTATAAATATCATTCAGTAAAAAGGATCTACTTATATTTTAATGGTAAGTGCTGCATTAATGTATTCGATTTTAGAGTATTTGCTTTTATTTTTGTAACATAAAAATACCAACAAATACTCTGATTTTCTCATCAGGTGGTTGCTAAGGACAATGACCACAGGTCAATGTGTACATCTCTCAATGATCCTCATATTACAACGTTTGATGGCAGGTACACATTTTTAAAATATTTTTTTTGTTTTATGACATAAAATTAACTTATATGTACATCTTCATTGTTCCAATACAAAGAAATAATTTACTTGGGCGTTTTCCTTGTACTTAAAGATTACGCGAAATATGAAATCTGAGAGAGCTTTTCAATGTAAGTTACTCATCAAAATACGAGTGTCAAATATCAAACCGTACTATTTGGCTATCTACCACAGAAACGTGTTATTTCTACTGATAATAATCTCATTTTTACAGACGGTACGACAATTTCAACACTGGAGAGTTTGTTTTATACAGACATAAAACACTTCCTTATGAGGTTAGTTCTTGTGATAACATGTCTTTGTATTTCACTGTGAAATAGAATATAAATGTAATGCCTTATTAACATACGATGTACTAGATTTGTTTATGTCTATCAAAATTGCTACATTCAATTACACTCTTTAACATTGTATTAAGTCTAGTGAGGTGTAGATTCACTATATAACATTTGTGAAATAGGAACACTGCGCATTTTATCATGATATATCAATCAACAGTATTTATATAATTGGAATATCAACATTTTATTGTAATCTAAACTATAATTGACAGCATTGAACTTTTATTGTTATGCTGCAATATCAAATAGCATCATTTTTGAAATGATTATCAGACATTTTCGATTATTCACATTAGAATCATAAGAATTCAAAGTAATAATGATTATCACATAATCACTATCACGTACATGAATCAATCTCATTTATTTTATATCATTTGTTCTAATATTTTTTCTGACAGGTTCGCGCCAAATATGAGAAATGTAGCACAAGGGGACATTCCAGGAAGAACCCTTCATGTAACTGTGCAGTAGCGATAAAATCTGGTGATGATGTAATAACATTTTCAAGCTGTGGAAGCCATGGCGTCACAGTAACGCCTCAACATGGTCATGGACATCACCATCATCACCAACCTGCCCCAACTCCAATTACAATACAGATGTTCAAGAACGGTAACCTCAACCCCGGTACGATAATCCGCCGTCTAGGGTGCGGACAGAAGTATGAGGTAAGTATTAATTTCTACCAAGAATTCTTCTTTCCTCTCTGATACAAAAACGATGGCATCCCATTGAAATATTCTGTTTCACATACAAATACATATCTATGGTATTTGTATATTAGTAAATCTGCAAGCCGCCATATAACACTTCTGTAACTTATCATACTTCTGTGCAAGATTAAGATATTTCTATTTACCAACAGGTACATCTTCCTACTGGCACGGTAATTACAATCCAGTCCAGTGCTCGTCCGTTCCTCAACATCTGGGTTAAACCATCCAGTTTAGACTACTCACAGACAGAGGGTAAGTTGTTATGATAAACATAAAATTGCATCAGTAATTTTTTCTCTTATTACAACTTATAAAGTATATGTTATGGAAACGTCATATGCAGAAGTCATTATTTTTATGTTTAACCTTTGACTAGGATAATTGTAAACAAAAAGTCTACTGATGTTCTAGGTCATATATAATTAGAGACTTTTTTGTGAAATAAGATTACGTTGCAATAATGAATGTCACTATGCTAACATATAATTTGTTTCCACAGGTCTGTGTGGTATTTACGACTTAAATCGCAGAAATGATGTCATCGACAAGAATGGTAGACCTTATCCCGATCGTGAACGTAGTCCAGATGATTTCTCGATGAAATGGCAGTAAGCATAATTTTGATCCTCTTAAATTACTAAACCATGATCAGGAGAACAAACAATGATACCCACATTTATCGTTTATTGCAATCAGATTACTTCAAATAATATGTGTTTTGTCTGCGTGATTTCCTATATCATGCTGTGCTCTTATTTTCTAGTGTCAGTTCGGGAGGCAGTATTTTTAACGGAGTACCGGCAGCAACAGTACCTGGAATCACCCGTTTCTGTAGCTGTGTCCAGGGTCGCACTGTGTTTTGTGTCGGCAGTCACGGCACTATGAGGTGTCCGGAAACACGTACGTCTCTAAATTTTCATTTAGAAAATTTGCCCTAGTTTTATTGAATTTGGGTTTTGATTCTGATTATGTTGACATATTGTCATTTTCTTGGGTTTTTTTTATCCTAATTTTGGTAAAGTCTAAACTGACCGAATAGAACCTTTATAGACAGTTTGATTTTTTTCATGTGTGTTCTGATTTTCTTTGGCGACAACAAGTAGGTTTTATCATGATATGTTTTTGCCATTAGAAAAAAATAATATAGTCATGTTTATTACTGAGGTCCTATTTTTAATACCTTGATATGTTTTCCCAAAAATTCCTAGAAATCGATATATATTTACATTATGGCTCATTATATGAAAATGCTTTGAACGGTTCAGTATTCCTTCAAATACTTTTTTAATTCATTCTCACTTCTGTTATCAACTTCTCAATAATGGTATGTAACACTTCCTCATCGCCACCAGGCTATGACATCACCCAGATGATAGTGTCCCAGGCCAGACTGCCTCAGCTAGGTGGTAGAAGTAGAGGCAAGCGTCAAGCCACCGTTAATCAAGTCACTCCGGAGGTTCTACCCGTGGTACGTTATACCATGCACGAATGTAGCCTGAGCGGTATAAAAACCATATTATCCTCATAAAAAACCCATACCTTAGTATTCAGTATCAGAACTTTTTAATGGAATATGATAAGAAAATAAATACTATCCTAGCATCGTTATATGCTTTCAGAACACGCAGAACTACACGTTAGCCGAGGCCAGGGATGTATGTAGCAACGCCATTTACAACAATTCAGTCACCGTTCAGTGTGATAGTATAGTGAATGGCTCCGACATATCAGACAGAATCGAAAACTGTGCTGCCGACTTAGAGGTACGTCTGCCATCCATTTTTATGTCATTAATGTACCAAGATAATGACGAACAAATTGCTTAATGCCGTCCATTTCAACGCATCATCAAAGTATATTTTCTATTGCATCTGGTTCACTACTCTAGAAAGGAACTTTATAACTCCGTTCTTTACAGACGACAGGGGACGACGTTTGGGCACTCGATTCCATTAAAGACATAATGGAGGAATGTCTGGGAGAAGTGGACAAGACTCCAGTGAATGGGTCAAACTCCAATGTACCTCTCATAGATACCTCCAACCTTTGCAGTGAGATGTGCCAAAACGGGAATTGTAGTCAAGGCAAGTTAAACGTAGATTGTTTTCGCTTAATACATCAAGCAGAGAAAATATTGCCTCATTAGAATTCATATACAATTAATTTTTTTCACCTTACTTCAACACTTCTTGTTATGTTCTGAACCAAATAATTTGTGTCCTTCTGGTAATTATGTTAGTTGATATAGTTATGCGTGAGTTTGAAGGCAAACTGATCAAACTCCACATGTAAGACTGCGTAAATATAGCATAACGTTGGTGACCAAAACAATAATATTGATAGCATTATCGAAATACACTTAGTCATCATACGAAAACATTTAATTATATTGGCGACAAAATCATTTTTCACTTTAATTTGTATCATTTAGAAATTTACTTCCTTAATAAAATACTGTATATAGTGTTTTGTCAGTGGTAATTCTTAATGTTGCTATTGAACGATATATTTTCCATCGTGTCAACAGTCGATAAACTGTATTCAAAACGAAATATCTATCGCCTTATCAAGGAGTGTGTCAGTGTGAACCTGGGTTCGCCGGAATCGACTGCTCTGTTTCCGCCCTGAACACCACGCCAACTGTCAACCCAAGGCCAGCAGATAATACCGGATGTGACATCAGACATTCCAGCGACTCGTGTCAGACAGTGATGATCTTGGGAGAAAATTTTGTTGAATCGCCAACACTGACTTGTCATTACACGTATATCAAGGTATCGTTAGAATAAATTCAGTGGTGACCCATAAATGTTTACGTGAAACCAACCATCATAATCATCTGTGTTTATTTTTGAGCGTATATTCATTTCAAAAGTGCTGGTCAAAATAGCATTGTCAATGAAGCTACATACATAAGGTATCAAATAATTAATTACAGTGCATAAGGAAAGCTATAATATTATATAACTTATGACATAGGTTACTACTGCGGTAGAACAGATCGGACTGGAGACGAAGGTTCCTGCAAATTTTACTAATATGTACCAAGTGTCCTGTCGCCTACCAGACACCAACACCGGCGCCTTAATTAGAGTGAGCAATGACGGCGTTACGCCGAGTAGCGGTCAGTACCTTCACCTTGTATACGACTCAATCTGCTACGACTGCACACTCGTGAATGATACATCAGCATCGACTTGTAATCGAAAGGTAGTGCGATACACATTTTATAGATCTATATATAAGCTTCTTTTTTTAAATATTCATCAAAATTTGAAAATTCATAAATCGGAATTGTTGTTGTCAATATGGCGCCATGTTTTTTTTATGAAGGTATCTTTTAATTAAAATCAATTAAAATCAAAACTTGTTTGTAAACATTAAATTTATGATAAATTAAAGTTAATTAAATGATATTATATTATAATATATATTTTGTTTTAAATGAACGGCCATTTGACAGAAATTATTACTTTCTACAATGAAATACTTCAGGGTGATAGCTGCGTTATCGAGGAAGCATGTTATGCTAAGGACGAAACAAAATCAGGAGAGAAGTACCAGGTTTGTAAGCCTGATGTGAGCGCATCCTCCTGGACAGACACATGCAGCGCAGGTAAAGTACATGTATTCTATTCTTTATTTACATTATTGTTTAGAGTAATCACTTTGCTATATTCATAACGAAAAAAAAAGTTGTTTGTTATTTTCACGATTAACCCAGACAAGGCAGTTTTACATCAAAAGTATACGATCATAACGAGCTTAACTTATCCTTTTAATAAAACAAAACGAAAAGACAAATACACTCTGTTATCATTAAAAGTAATCGTAACTTGATAATTTATCATTCAGTATACATTAATGAGAAACATGTTACAGAATACAAACGTCTATCTAAGGGAGACGACTATCAAAAAAGTGTAGCTTTTTCTCGATCTCGCGAGAAAAGATAAGATATACAGCTCTGCATCTTAATTGGTCCTTGTTTTGAAATATCATAGATGTTTTGGACCATCCGATAACATAAGATTATACCCATATTGGAAAAGATTGAATCTTGTTCAGTCTCTGGCGCTTCTTTTCATTTCCCATCATTTGATAGTTCCATTCAATTTGTTCTTGATTATCAAAATGAAATATAAAATGTATGCATAAACCATTTTCTCAGCAAGAAAGATTAAAAATAATCCAGATTTAAAATGACGTTTATTATTCATCCAAATCGTCTTATATATACAAAGGCTTTTGACTTTAACAGTTGCAGTCAATTTTATCACTAATCCATACACTTGCGTGGTTAACATTTCATCGTAAATACACTTGACTCACCGTTTATTTCATGAAACGTAAATGAATTTATACTTACACATCAAATACTTTGATTCTACTAACTAATGTTTTGGATAGGCAATGGTGTTGTGTTGTTGTACTGGTGTCATACTGGCTTTATTGTGTAGATGCTGTGTAATAAACTGGTTTGATAATGGAAATATATTTGTTGTCGCGTTGTACTGGAATGATAAAGGATATGTTGTGTATGTGCTACAGATCGCTCAGTTGTGTATCGTTCAGATGTTGTGTCTTTATGCTTACATCATAACGGCTATATAGTGACGTTGAAGCGAGAAAAAACCTTTCTTGTGTTGTTATATAGTGTTGATAATGACTTTGTTGTTTGTGTTCACTGATCCTATCTGTAGTCCCGTTGCTGTGTCGTTATACTTGTATGTCATGTATGTGGAAGAGATCCGACCTGTTGACCGGATGCTGCTGTGTCGGCATAATCATTATATTAGTGCAAGAATGGCTATGTGTAGTCTATCATAATGTCTATGTTGTGTGATAGTTACAGATCCAACATGGGTTCCTGATGTTGGGTCGTTATATTGGTATGCTAATTATATGTTGTGTCGTAATACTGCTGTGATAATTGCTATGTTGTGTATTTAGGCTAGTATAATAAAGGTTTTGATGTTGATGTGTTACAGATCCGACTTGTGGTCCGGCAGTTGAAGCCTCAAAACAAGAAGACAGGACGGAAAGCATCATTCTGGCCGTGGTGTGTGGAATTCTGGGAGTTGGCTTAATCCTTTCCATAGGATATATACTAAAACACAGGTATATCTTTGTGCTTGTTCCTTTAAGTCTATTTGTCCCTCAATCATACAATCCATAAAACATTTATACAATCCCTATGACAAAGGAAATTTAGTCATAGTTTATTTTATATTTTCAACAGAAAGAAGCCCGCAAATCACAAATCGTATAAAGTCCACGAAGAGAGGGCAGAGCAGATACCAGAAGTAGCGTACGACAACAAAATGTATGCTGACAACAATTATAGAATGTAATCAGCCACATCAATGCTGTGAGCACATAATGAGAAATGTGTTTGTTGCTACAGACAATACATAAATATAATACATCACTAAAACCTATTGATATCAGGTTGTCAACTGTATTCTATATTTTAACACCTAGTGAAAGTCATGATTATAAGTTTAAAAGTGAAATCAATGGGAAAAAGTTCAAGCCAATTTGAAGTTGACATCGCATGTAAACTTGATCAACGATCAAAAATAAAAAATGTCATTAGTTTATGTCAGCATCAAATTTGTTTCAGGTAAAGCGACAATTCAAAATTCACCACTTGTCTCTAAACACCTCATCAGCAATCACAACACATAGACATTGCTTTTTGTCAATGATGTCAATTTAATTTTGATGCTTGGCTACCACATGATAAAGTATTTAACCAAGAAATAAAACAATACCCAGTGTTGTATATGATCGTATGCTTTGGAATTACATAATGAAAATGATACAGATAAAGTAATCCCTTCCGTCCGTCACCATTGTTGGTTTATTCTGATGCACGTTTGTATTTGTCATTAAATATCTATTTTACAATTACAATATTGTCTGAGTATCATCAAATGTCAGAATTTTCTCACCATCATGTTTCACAGGGAAAGATATATTTGTACTTTATATTTTACGCAGTCGTCTCTTAGTATTCAAATCTTTAGGTCCTTAGCATTACTGATGAGTCCGAGAAGGACAAAACAGCTGTGGATACAGTTTAAATAATTGTTTGGCTCTACTGTATCTAAATTTGTATTAAAACGTGCTATTCACTTTTTTGTCTTTTGTGTAGTCTTCATTTCATATCAGCTATCACAACTTTTAGCATTCAACTCTAATGTGTTAATATTTTGAAAATATTGCGAAAGGAATACTGTCCTGTGGTATTTGTGGTTTGCCAATAAAAATAGACAATCAGATATTGCAATTTTATATAAACGAAATGTAGAAAAATGACATTCCAGAATCTCGATCAATAGTTACGAATGAACATTTGTCTTTGAGTTTGTTAAATATAATGTTTTAATTGGTAAATGTATTTGATTTGTTATTTCGTGATTAAAAACGAAAAAAATAACTTAGTGTTCATTTTTCTTGTGAATATACGCTATACATTTTTGTACAATGATGAGATATGATCCAAAGCTTACGCCTATCACACCAGATCAGTGAAGATGAAAAATAATGCTCACAGGTAGTGAATTCTAATCTAGTGACTCACCTAGATGCGTGCTATAACTATATCTGTCGTGACGGTAGGTTTTATGAGGATGCAATTCTGTACATGTGATAAGTGTCAGGCCAATGTATGTCCCAGATCTTGTCAATTTATCGCGTGGTTTATCACTTAATCTAGAAATGCAAAGTTTGTTATGGTTAGCTTTCTGCATGAAATATAAATAAGTCATTACTTAGTTAAAAGTTACAGTTTAAGCTTACCGTAAATACGAAAAATATAAAAGTCAGTACTAAAATAAGAATTACAATCTTATCTTAGTGTGACTATAATTATATACTGCAAAAAAATTAATTGTCAGTATTCGAATAAGCGTCAAACTTTAAGTTCAGTGTGACTTTAACAGTATTACTACAAATATGATTAAGATAAATGTCTGTATTCGATTAAGATTTACACTTAAGGTTTCATGTGACTTTAATGATATTACTACAAATATAATTAAGATAAATGTCAGTATTCGAATAAGAGATACACTTTAAGTTTAGTGTGCTTTTAATGGTATAAAAGTCAATACTTGATAAAGAACTACAATCAAAGTTGGTTGAGTGTGAGTTTAATGATTTTACTGCAAGTATAATTAAGATAAATTTCAGTATTCGATTAAGAGTTTAAATTTTGGTTTCATGTGATTTTAATGGAATTACTACAAATATAATTAAGATCTATTTCAGTATTCGGTTAAGAGTTACAATCTTACACTGGAATTAATATTTTTTGTACCAAAATACAATTACAATACCTCTGTTGTTAGCATCCATAAATTGAACTGTACCAACTGACTTCATTCTGGCGGTATCACATATTAACCAGTCGAACAGACTTATAAAAATGAAAATGCATAATCATATCCAATTTCTGGTTATCATTCACCATCGACAAAACATTATTCCAAATAGGAATTATTAATCAACAGTGATTCTACTTATCAGTAATACTACCTAACCAACAATACAGCCTGAGTCAGTGGTACATCCATACATTATGAGTTGCCTACCTTGGTATTGACAATTAATCGCAATATATTAGTCAGCGAAAAGATATCGGAATACCAGTGTGGTGTCACAATGGTGCATTTTTCTTATATTATACTGCTCTCAGATATTGTGTATGAATGCATTGTCATTTCTGTACATTTTTTGTTCTCGAATGGGCACATTTGTTCGAGGCACAGTTAGAACTGCAGCTTAAGACAAAATAAGGAAAGGACATTTTCCTTCACACAATAGAGAGATATTTCTTTATTAGTGAAACAATATCATGTCAATTGTAACCAAAATCACTGATTTACAACAAATTTTAATTAAAACCGATTTCTTAATGTTACAGAACTTTGCTATGGTAATGTCAAACAGATATCGGTTACAATTAATCGGTTACAATTAAGAAATACACATCATTGTTTTCCTAAATTTTATTAATTTTCAACACAAATAAATGATTTCACAAAAATAAGTAAAAGAATACGTATACAGTGTGAACAAATACAAAATATTAAGATAAGTCGCATGCACATTTACAATTTACGCAACACTAGCTGAAATCTCCTTTTATTATATTGGGGTAAAATGGATTAAACAGAATCAGGAAAAAAGTGTCTTAACTTACGATTTTACTAAAGACAAACAAAATGATAGGTATCGATCAATTATTCTAATAATCGATAATTCCTTAACTATTAGGAGTAACATTCCTTATGATATATGTATTCCTTTGTGTTCTAAAACCTACCCTGATGTCATCTCCCTTTATTGATATATTGACCTCTCACAGACTTATAATATTCTAAAAGGATATTTTCGAGTTATTTTCATACTAAAAATTCATGCATTATTTCGATAAACTTATTTATTTAAAGGACAATGACATTAGCGTCAACGGTTCTTTTACTGCTTTAAAAAACCAAGACGATATTGTGGTAAGAGAATAAATCTTCTTTGAATTTCATTATTTAAACCATAAACCTTCAGTTTGTATAAATCTTTTCTGAAACAATTTCATGTTAAATACTTTTATGTCCTTTACTGGTAACATAAACATCGTTTACTATCCTTCTCCGAAGCAAGTTTGCTGTTCCATTTCCAATTAATTAAAGATTTTTTAAAACGGATAGGTTACAAATTTTAGATATTCCTAGATCAATTAACCTCCTGAAAAAGGTTTGTGGCTATTCAGAGAAGATTTGGTGACAATGTAAGCCTATCATAATTATCAACAAGATATCATTTTTTATTTTCTTCAAGATGATAAAAGCTGGGGTAAAAACTTCACATCTTTTGTAAGTATACTCCTAACTAGTAGAACAATGAAAAGCTCTAAATCACATCTTTTGTAAGTATACTCCTAACTAGTAGAACAAGGAAAAGCTCTAAATCACATCTTTTGTAAGTATACTCCTAACTAGTAGAACAATGAAAAGCTCTAAATCACATCTTTTGTAAGTATACTCTTAACTAGTAGAACAATGAAAAGCTCTAAATCACATCTTTTGTAAGTATACTCCTAACTAGTAGAACAAGGAAAAGCTCTAAATCACATCTTTTGTAAGTATACTCCTAACTAGTAGAACAAGGAAAAGCTCTAAATCACATCTTTTGTAAGTATACTCCTAACTAGTAGAACAATGAAAAGCTCTAAATCACATCTTTTGTAAGTATACTCCTAACTAGTAGAACAAGGAAAAGCTCTAAATCACATCTTTTGTAAGTATACTCCTAACTAGTAGAACAATGAAAAGCTCTAAATCACATCTTTTGTAAGTATACTCCTAACTAGTAGAACAATGAAAAGCTCTAAATCACATCTTTTGTAAGTATACTCCTAACTAGTAGAACAAGGAAAAGCTCTAAATCACATCTTTTGTAAGTATACTCCTAACTAGTAGAACAAGGAAAAGCTCTAAATCACATCTTTTGTAAGTATACTCCTAACTAGTAGAACAAGGAAAAGCTCTAAATCACATCTTTTGTAAGTATACTCCTAACTAGTAGAACAATGAAAAGCTCTAAATCACATCTTTTGTAAGTATACTCCTAACTAGTAGAACAATGAAAAGCTCTAAATCACATCTTTTGTAAGTATACTCCTAACTAGTAGAACAATGAAAAGCTCTAAATCACATCTTTTGTAAGTATACTCCTAACTAGTAGAACAATGAAAAGCTCTAAATCACATCTTTTGTAAGTATACTCCTAACTAGTAGAACAATGAAAAGCTCTAAATCACATCTTTTGTAAGTATACTCCTAACTAGTAGAACAATGAAAAGCTCTAAATCACATCTTTTGTAAGTATACTCCTAACTAGCAGAACAAGGAAAAGCTCTAAATCACATCTTCCGTCCAGCATCCCATATATAAATCATTTCCCACTATGATCACAGCAATGAAATAACCAATTTTAATGTTTCAATGGATGCAGTAGAGATTTTCAAAATCTTACTTTCAATAAAATTTCAACGTAAATGTGTTTAAAAAAATCAAAGTTAATACTCAAATTGCAATCGTAGATTTTTTTTACACATATTCAATAACTGTGTTACAGATAAATATTAGATATTCTGTGTTCGTTACATTTATGTACCAGGTAAACATCCTACTTAGTTCCGTCTTCACATAAAAGGCTGTGTACTAATACCAGTGACCTTATGCCAGTTTTGTTTATTGCAAAGACCCTGAAACACATTAACTGACACTTTATCTCTTGTTGATTGATAGCAACACAATATGTTTATTGTGCTCTAAGGTCGTAA